CCCCTGCGGCCCTACCCCCCCCCCCCCCCCCAAACATGTAAGACTGGTTGGCTGTCTTGACTGAGCATGGGAGGACCCTGACTTTTGCCACCAACTTTTCACCAGGCCTTGTGTGTGAGGAATTGAACGGGCCCACCCAACCCACACGTCCTACGTGCTGAGTAGTGGTTTGTTCCATCTATGCGGGTGGGATAACATGAGACTGACTGGCGCAGTTTTTGGGTCGGTTTCACCCCGAAGGCGTGCCCAAACCTTCCGATCCCCCCCCCCTGTCACAGCGGGACAGCGGGTTTCAATATTGCGAGCTTGCGTTTACCTTCGCAAGCTTTAGGATGCTGGAGGCTCGCATGTTCACTGCTTTCGCAGTGGTGTGTGCCAGATGTGCAATCTCCGCAAGCCTTTAAAATCCGAAACCAGCCACTAGGCCCTCTGAAATCAACTTCGGCATGGCCCTCCCCCAGCCCCCCCCGCCCTGTCTAGAAGTTGCTCAGGTGTGAGGCGAGTGGCATACCCCCTCAAGGTGGGCGCCCTTATGTAGATTTGTTTCTTCTGTGTTTGTCGGGCCCCTTGGTGCTTCGGCTTCTGCTGCGGTGCGTGGGGACATTCCATGAAGAATCAGAAGTAAGCTCTCGAGAGTATTGTTACTAGAGAGCATGCTGGATTGCGAGACACCCCCCCAAACCCCCTCAATTAAGGACACTGTGACAATAGGTTGGCTGAGCATTGAGTCCTCCCCCAAGAGCACACGCCATCCATGAGGGCCGTACTGAGAACAGCCCTACGCTTGCTTGTTTGGCCCAGGAGAGTGCCGTCCAGGCCTTCGATAGCTTCAGTGACACGACCACCTCGCGGAACAGGACCTGCAAAGATGTCAATCCTTGAATCCCAAAAGGCCAAAAAACCTCCAAAAACCTATAAACTTTTCTCAGTATTATCAACCCCAGGTTTTGCGGACCGGGATGCATGGCAGGCACTCTGAATTCGAAGGAAGCTTAGGGGTTTAAAGTTTCACTTCTCAGGCCTGTATGGATCCGACGCCATTTTTTGGTTTGCCATATAGAGTTGGGGACGTGCTGTTAGGTGTCATCTTCGACATATGCGCCCGTGTTCCAAAGTCTCAAAGGAGAGGGCATCTTGAAGAATAACCATCAAGACCCATACCCCTCAACGCAAAGGTCTGCCCACTGCTATTCGGTTCTGCACACGGTATAGTGGTTTGCACGGAAGGAGCACTTCGCACCATGCGCGGCGCCCGGATGTCATGTCACATTCCCCGACCCCCTGGACATGGGGAGAGGGGGCCGTCGAGACCTCCAGTCAAGGGCAGGGCTGAGAAGCCCCCAAAATAGAATCCCAACTGGAAGAAGAAGAGAAAGAGCACACAACCGTCACAACCGAGATTCTGCTACGTTACGTGCCTGCCTTAGACTTCAGAGAGCATCCAAAGCCCATAAACCGAAGGAGCGTTTGTCACGTAGGGGCCTTGTGGGGATGCCCAGCGCAAGGTTCGAACTCCCAACAGTGTGTAAAGACAGCGCGCCTGCGCTCCCACCTTCAGCCAAGAAGCACCTCGTCACTGTATGCACTATATACAAATTTATTTACTTACTCTTGCTGCTGCTGTTGTTATTATGATGATTGTTACTCCGTCTATTATTTTTGCTCTTGCAATGAATTGTCCTTGCTCTTCTTATTGTGGCTTTTCTTGTTTTTGCTATTTTTCTTGACATTGCTGTTCTTACTATATATACCGATTGATCTGCGCAAGCGTCGAGGGTGGCTCCAAATAACTTGACAAGGCATGAGTTTTTAAAGGTCCAGAAAACCCTTCTGTGGGCTCTGACTGAACCCACGCCCGAAAAAAAAGTCTTGTCTTCGGCGTCCCAAGCGCTGTTCCTTGCAGGCGCCCACCTTCGTCCATCAATAGGCTGAGCCCGGGATGTGGAGCCCTTTTTGGGGGGGGCACCAAACACACAAAGGGCATGAGCATGGCGCGACTGGCCCATGGTCTCTTGGGACAACAGGGGCTCCACCTCCTCGGCACCATTTTGGCTGCCTGAGGTTTTTGCCATTTCTTTAGGAGGCTTCGGTACCCGAACCCCTGAGTTGCATCATGAAGACAATCACCCAAACACTCAGAGCCTAGAGACGGTTTAGGGCTGCAGGCTGTTAACTGCGCGGGGCAGCACGGGGGGCAGCGGGTACACGGGCTTCAATACCCAAAGAGCTGCGCCCAAAGGGCTCGCGGCTCACTTTCGACTTGGGTTGTGCTCCTTTGTGTTGGGGTGGGGAGAGTGGGTTTAGGGTCTAGGATTTCGAGGTTAAGGCGGTTTGGGGTTGATAGAACTTCTTGCAGACACGTGGTTGTGAAAGGGTTGGGGGGCTATGGTGCGATGGCCCACGGCGACAGCGCAGAGGTTTTTGAGAAGGCAGCTTCCCCCTCTCGAGACACGCCCATTTGAAATTGACTGCCGGGCGAAGGGACGGTTGAACCTGAGACTGGACACATGGTTTTAGGGGGGTTTAGGGTTTAGATTTAGGGAATTTTCCGGGGCTCCTGGATATTTCTGGGGAAGCATGGGAAGCATTCGATATCGAGAGCGACATCGAACGCAGGCGGCCGCTTCCCAACTCCCCGGCAGAACGTTTAGAGTTTGGAGCTCACCCGCATTCAACTTCCGCAGCTTGCTTCATGGTTGCAGGGTCCTTGAGCACCTAAGGCTCCTGTTCAGGAAGCCTGTAGCAATGGGTTGAAAGTCAAGCTCCAAGGTTCTTAAGCCCGGCAAACCCAGGGTTCGAGAAAGCCCTATAAAATCCGAAATCCTAAACCCTAAACCCTGAGAAAGCAAACCTAAACCCCATGATTCCCAAGCTCAATTGGGGCTCAGGGTCTGCGCATGTCTGTGGTTGTTGCCCGTGGGCTCCGCCCCTTTCAGTCGGGCCAGGGCTTGAGTGAGCGTCAGCGGGCTGATAGGGATCTGCAAGATGGAGCCTCTTTTGTAATAACAGCCATATTGTAATCATAACCTTCATAAATAAAAAATCAATAACAACAAAAACGCGAATGACAATTCTACCATTTGTACCCTTCAGATAATCTGCAAACCTCGCTTGGAACGGGCGGGGTGTGTGTGGGGGTTTAAAGCCTAGAGACGCCCGGGCAACTCTTCTCACAGCTTGAATGTAGGGCTCGGGACAAAGTCGTTGTACCCTATAAGCCTTAAACCCTGAAACGCAGATGACAAACTTCTTATCTGACGCTGACTTTACCCTGGCATTGCCGAGAAAAGAAAGGCTCCTTGAATCCATTTTGGGTGGTGGCCCATGCAACGCTTCGATACTATGAAATAGGATTTTGCCGGGTTTAGGACTCGGAAACTGGGGGTTCGGGTGTGCATTCGGTAGAGAGAGCGCGGGGGTGTATTTGGTAAGCTGCCACCCTGAAAAATGGCTTCCGCCTGTGGACCGG